AACTCTATTCGGTTTTATCAGCCCAAACTTACAAAGGCATTTATGGGGAATACACAAATGCATAGATAGTGTATCCAAGCTAAATAAAATATACTATATGGCCAAAAGTATGTGGATACCCCTCCTAATTACTGAGTTCAGGTCCCGTCAGTCACACTCATTGCTAACAGGTGTATAAAATCAAGCCATGCAATCTTCTAGACAAACACTGACAGTTGAATGAATCACTCTGAAGAGCTTGGGGACTTTAAATGTGCCACTGTCATAGGATAACAACTTCACCACAAGTCAACCACAAGTTTGTGAAATTACTGCCCTGCTAGATCTGCCCCAGTCAAATGTAAGTGCTGTTACTGTGAAATGGATACATCTAGAAGTGACAGCAACTCTGCCAAGAAGCAGTAGACCACGTACATTTTCAGAACAGAGCCACCGAGTGCTGAAGCATGTAGCGCATAAAACTCACCGATCCTCTGTTGCATAACTCACTACAGAGTTCCAAATCACCTCTGAAAGCAACTTCAACACAAGAACTGTGCATTGGGAGCTTCGTGAAATGGATTCCATGGCCAAGCAGCTGCACACAAGCCTAAGATCACTATGCACTTGTGCACAAAGCAAGGTCCATAAAGACATGGTTTGATGAGTCTGGTGGAGGAACTCCAGTGGCACAGAGCCCTGACCTCAACCCCACTGAACACCTTTGGGATGAATTTGATTGATTTGATATTGATTGTGAACCAGGCCTTCTTGTCAAACATCAGTGTCTGACCTCACAAATGCTCTTTTGACTGAATGGGCACAAATTTACACAGACAGACAAGTGTAAAGCCACCTTGTGTAAAGCCTTCTCAGAAGACTGGAGGCTGTTACAGCGACAAAGGGGAGGCTCCATATTAATGCCCATGGTTTCGGAAAGAGATGTCCAACAAGCTCATATAGGTGTGATGTTTTCAGGTGTCCCCATACATTTGGCCATATATATATAAAAATGGCGCATAGCATAATTGGTACATATTTTACTCTCTGAATATAAGAACCATGCTTCGAGACGAGGAATGTGCACAGACTGGGTGCTTGGATTCGCTCTTCATTCATTATAATTGGGATGACTGTAAAAACAATTTTCTGTCTGTTCATAACAAAAGAATCACTGTAGAATTGTGAGGCACAGAACTGCCTAGATGAAAAATAGTAATTAAATCTCACCTGCCAGTCCTGCTAACTAGTTATAGAAACCAACCCTCTGGGTCATTCCACAGCAACCTCAATTTAGCTCATGCAACCATGCAAAATTTCAGACTTGCGCCCTTTTTCTTTTAGTTAGGTTTAGTTAGATTTTAGTTAGATTTTTGCACTTCTAAGTTAGAAGTTTGTTAGAAGTTTTTCCTGTTAGGACCAAACTGCAATTTAATTATTGAGGTTAACTGCTTACAGAATGACTGAGCTAAACTGAAATATTAACTGGTTATAAATACAACAGTAAGAATATTTTTTCACTTCAAATAAACTAGCTTTGTGCTAATAAGTGCCTTCAACAGGTCAATTTATCAATTTTTTAGGTAAATATTTCAAATTTGAAATGTAATATTTCATTCAGATTTCAAAATAGTCTTTGCGAAATTAAGGTTTTATGTAGTACTCTGACATTCATAGCAATAATTTCTGATTGGAATATTAGAATCTACACAATGTGTTCAAAACAGCTTCTAAAAATCCATCTTATAGACCAGTTTGCCCAGTATTTTCTCTCAAAAGGGACTAAACCTATTTCCTTCAGTTTTTTCCTAAATAAGGACAGTTATTTCTAACATATAAACAAATTGCACATGCTCTCAAATTGCAATTTATAATTTTTCATGTCTTATTGAATTATTTAAGATGCCCAAATTAGGAAGGAGTCAAACTGTACAAAAGAAAAACACTGTATTTACAAAATAACCTTTATAATGCTCTGGAAAATCTTGGCTAAGCACAGTGTCTCTCAGTTTGATGGAAAATGGTGGCTAGCATTCCATCAGGAAATAAGATGATGATAGTCATTTGAATTTTTTTGCATCCTTATGGCCTGTAAATAGATTTTGATGGCCAGCGAGACAGGGCACTTGTTGGGTACCTCTGCAAAATATTCTGTATATGTTTAACCACAAACAAACAAGAAATACAAGAACTAAGCATTATACATGTTACCTGTTATTTACTTGTACTTTATGTTATTTTCAGCCCCATTTTCAAAAAAATCTATATAAACATTTCAATTAGACATAACTGTCCTTATTTAGAAAAAAATGATGAAAATAAAATACTACTTCAGAAAGTCAGTGGTCAAAAAGGTCTACAAAATGGATTTGAGTGTTTACTTTTAGAAATGAACAATACATAAAATGTTTTAAAAAAATGTGTTTAAAAAAATGACTAGATGTTTACCGTTTTAAAAATGAAATATTAAATATTAATCAGAAAATTGTATATTCTGCAATAAATGAACCAGTTGAGGGCTTTTATTAGCAAAGAAACTAGCTAATGTAAAGTTTAATATTATTCTTATTGTTGTATTCACACCTTGTTAATATTTCATCTCATTTCAAAAACTCATTGGAGCGCAGGTTTATAATTTTGCATGATTGCTTGTGTCCAGTTTGAGTTTTTGTTAGAATTTGGAATGTGAGTTGCCATCTCTCTCTCTAATGTACAGTTGAAAAGGACACTATCCCAAGAAAACAATGAACTGTTTTATGATCTGTATCAGTAAAATAATGTCCCAACATTATGTCCTGGCTTTATATTCAATGTGTGTCAGTACTTCAAGATACCACAGGTCAATATCAATGTACAATGTTCAGATAAAATGAGAAGAATGTCAGGGCAAAGACAGGAGCAGCTGTACCACAGCTCATTCATCACTCCTTTCATTGGGGTCAAATAAATATTTTGAAAGATACATTAATACCTAAAACTTAAAACAGCAAGTAAGTTAACAATAAAAGACAGTGTAACAATGTGATGCGTAACAGAAATGAAAAGCATCCTGAGTACATACTGTAGGAGCAGGTGAAATACCAATAGCTGTACTGTCCAAAAGTTAGTCCAAGTATTTTCAGCTGTGTCCGACTATTTACGTGCAATATTTTGGATACTTTTTGAATCAAGTTCCATAGAATTCAATGGAATGATTTACTTGCTGATGGCACCAAAGACGCTCTGCAAGCTAGCCATAAAAACAGTCAGTAGCATGGTTAGCAGTCTTTTGTGTTGCTTTTACTGCATAGCAATGTTACGCAGTGTGCCACGTTTTCTGTTTCATATTGACATATTAAATGTAAAATCACTAAAGTAGGTATGACCGATTCACCTTAAGCAGTTTTGCGATACCCAACATTAGCCCAGAGTTATAAAAGAGAACGCACAACATCTCAAGGCACTGCTATAAGGATGAACAGATGGGCAGTCATAAATGAATACTGGTGCTATAAAACAACACATTCTAACTGTTGTTAAGCTAACCTAACAGTGTTCATTTGTTTGCAGCATCACATCCTGCATAGCACTAGATCATACTGAGGTGAGGCAAAAGCCAGCTCTGTGTAGCTAGCTCTTCTGTTTAGAAAAACATGCATAAAGCTTTCAAAAGCCACCATTGTTATATTTAAATCTGTACTCAATGTTGGTTACTATGAAGAAATTACCAAGCTAATTTTAACAGCCCCTCTACATATTTGTGTATGGGCTCTATATATTTGTAAATGATTACTAATGTTAAATAAATAGCGAAGCTCTGGCAAAATTTCACTACAACATTAAATAGACCATTAACCTAACTAAAAATAACATAAAGAGACTTTGTCTGGTCTTTGGCCAGCTAAAATCTTCTTGCCAAGAACTGTGACCCTAGTATTACAGTAATTAAAAACCTTTCCTGAAGAAAAAATTACATATTGCCATGTAAAAGACTACAGTTAACTAGCTGTTTTTGCTTGCCCCCCGCCACTCCCAGTACAAACCCAGTTCCAAAAACATTGGGAAAGTAGGTAAAATACAAAACAGACAGCTATGAATTGTTCACTGTGTTTTACAGGTATTTAATTGAAAACAGCACAAACTTCTGTTTTTTGTAAATATACTCTAATTCCAGATTTGATGCCTGCAACACATTCCAGTTGTGACAGGGGCAGTGTAAGACAGGGAAAAGTTCATGGAACTTTCCACAGGTAAACAGGTGAATAGGTAACAAGAGAAGTTATCATGATTGGGTTATAAAAGAAGCATCACAAAGGCTCAGTCGCCACTTTGTGAAACATTGTTTAAAGATTCAGAGAAGCCGGAAAAACCTCTGCGCATAAAGTTCAAGGCCGAAAAATCAGTGCGGGATGCCTGTGAATATCGATCCCTATGATGACGTTGCACTAAAATCCAACATGCCAAACATCCAACATCCAAAAGTGAGCATCTGTCATGGTATGGGCATGTGTTAGTGCCCATGGCATGGGTGACTTGCACATCTGCGAAGGCACCATTCATGCTGAGGGGTACATACATATTTTGGAGCAGGATCTGCTGCCATCTAGATGATGTCTTTTTCAGGAATGTTTCAGCAAGACAATGCCAAGCCACAGTCTGCATATGTTACAACAGCGTGGCTTCATAGTAAGAGATTGCAGTTGCTAGACTGGCCTGCCTGCAGTCCAAACCTGTCTACCATTGAAAACATGAGGTGTATTATGGAGCACAATATATGACAACAGAGACCCTGGACTGTTGAGTAGGTGAAGTATTATAACAAGCAAGAATGGAAAGAAAATTCCACTTTCACAGCAACAACAATTGGTGTTCTCAGTTCCCAAACGATTACTGAACGTTGTTAAAAGGAAGTTTGATGTAACACGGTGGTAAACATGCCCCTGTCACAATTTTTTTGGGACATGTTGCAGGCATCTATTTAGAGTGAGCACATATATCCAAAAAACAAAAAGTTTTTCCTACTTGGAATTGAGTTTGTTATTAGCCTCCAGTACTATTTGGAAACACTTAAGTACACTTTATTTGCAGCTACATAGCAGGTATATGTTTCATGTTATTCATGCTTGTGTTGAACCATTTGGACAGTACAAGTATTGGCATTACACCTACATTTCACTTAGCAGCATCAACGCAGTGCAAGTTCACATTATTCAACGATGAATGTACATATCCATGGGCCAGTTACCATCCTCCCCACGTCTGTCCCTATCCCTCTCTCTGTTTCTGTCCCTGTCCCGCTCTCGACTCTGATAGTGGTAGTGGTTATGAGGGAGGCTGTAGTGCTGTTCTTGGTGAGAGTGTAGTGGCTGTTCATGGTGGGAGCGCATTGGCTGTTCGTGATGCGAGCGTATTGGCTGTTCGTGGTGAGGGCCGTAGAGGCTGATCGTGGTGGTGGGAACGTATCTGGCTCTGGTGCCTGTGCTGCCTGTTGCGTTCGTTGTGCTTCAGCTCATAGTCCTGTCCATGAGGGGAGTGGTCCTCGTGAATGTCCATGGTCCCGCGGTGGTGGTGATGGCGGTGACGATGGTGATTGTGGTGCTGGTGGTTGTGGTCTCTGAGGGTTGTAGTCCTGTTTTGGTACACTTCAGTTTGGTCCAGTTCGTCCTCATCCAGCTGCAGGTGCCGGCTCCGTGGCTCCGTGTACACAGAGTCCTTGCTGGGCATCAGCTCTATGTCCGCTGGCTGTGGGTGGGCAGGGTGGTGGTTGTGGTGCTCGGTGCGGTTCGCGCTGGTCCGGTGGTGGTGGTGGTGATGGTGATGGTGATGATGGTGGCTATGCTGTGGTCTCTTTGGCTCACTCCTCAAGAGCCTTTCCTCCTCTTCTGCCTCTTCCTCCCTTGCCTCCTCTTCCTCATCCTCCCTCTGCTCCTCAGCCTGAGGTTGCAGCTCCAACTGGTTCTCTTGAGATCCTTTCCTCTTGGTGGCTGCTGTTCTCTTGCTTTTTGTTTCCTCCTGGTGTCCAAGATTAGAAACATAAAGTTAGTTGTGAGAAAGAAGTAACTCTGTGGACCAAATGTACTGAACATTGTCACATTTTGAATGCACGAAATCACACACAGCTGATCTTTCAATGTGTAGGCCCCAATCAAAAAGCACAGTAGGTTTTAGCATGCCTGACTTCATGCATGTGCATTTTAGGGTGTGGCACTGTTGAGGCACAGAAATAGAGGTAAAGACCAATTAACCACCAGACCCGGTTATCAGGCCACCCCAGAAAAGATGAATAAAATGGCCTTACAGGGATAACAATCTGGAGCAATTTGCTGACATAAACTGACCAGAAAACTGCGTCTTAGTATACGGAAGCCTAGTATACGGAAATGCAATTACTTTGAAAATGTTCCCCTCACAGAGGTTGTGAGAAAAGACAGCTCTTCTTAAAAGCAAGCCTCTCTTTTCATCTCATTAAAAAAGTAATCTTTTTTTATATTTTCCTCCATTTTTACCCATTTAGGAGTTTCTTTTTATTGTGTGTTTCACTTTCACTTTGGTTGAGCATCAGCTTTTCCCTTTATGAAAAAAAAAAATATATATATGCAAAGTGTATTTATTAAATGCATTAAAAATGCCATTTCAGTACACTTATAGAATATATATTTTTATTTTTAAAAATTCTTTAATAATGTTATCTTGTTGACAGTATTTTCTAATAGGCATTATCTGTCTAAAGGCTACTTTAGCTAATTTTGATCTAAAATTGGCAAATGTAACCTTTACAGTGAATGACACCTATTGGAATAAGCATTTACAAACATTATGATGTAGGTGTCATATAGCCATATATGACCATATAGTGGTCATGCTAATTTTGATTTGTTTTAGTTAATCTACAGATCTTATGCCATGGATTTCAATTCATGGTGAGCCTGTACCTAATAAACAAGCAAAATGAGTATCAGACTGCATGCTGTTTTAGGATGCCCCATAAAGTAATTTCTCGCATTTCCCTCCCTTATTCCAAACGCCAAGACATGTTTGGTGTCTAAAGTTTGCCTCATTAGTTTTGCACTGGAGCTATGAGGCTAACAGACCTAACACTCGATTTAAGCCTATGTCACCCAAATTGTGCTTAGTAGGAAAGAGTTTACGTAGGGATTGAACAGAGTTAACACAAATACACAGTCCACCGGCTGCTACTTTTGGCATGTCCACTCCCAAGTGAATCTCTGATTAATGAGTCTGAATGACCTCTGCAGCTCAATGTGCTCAAGTGTCAAAACTGGACTCTGCCCAGTTCTGACTGTTTTGAAGGGTTTCTTTTTCAGTAGATGCCAATATTTCTCCAGTTCACTAGCAGTTTTTCATCTCATGCCGTAGTCAGAGCACTTTTTGCACTGCACTGGTGACTCAGGCAGAGTACCTGATATTCCTGTCCACAGGAGGGCAGCATCTGTCCATCAAAGCATAAATGTGAAATGGTAGCAGGATGGAAAATGAATCATGATCTATGGCGGCGGTGTAGGGCAAGATGCAGGGGTGGGGATCCCATTCAGTTAACTGACGACGTTGCACAGTATTCTCCATGCCTTATGGCCAAAATAAACGTTAATTTTCTTTTCAGTGAATAGTTATTTCTGGGTGCAGGTTCCAGCCATGGGTATTCTCATTAGTGGAGATGGTATTTTGGTATCAATGGGTATCGGTAAGCTAAAAATGCTGGCTCGGCTATTGAAGGGAAAAAAGAATGAAACTGATCCACTCCTGTAACAAATCTATCCTGAAATTGCACACACTCACATTGTATGATGTGGTGGTCTTAGCTGTGTACTTCATCCTGTGTGGTAGTAGTGCGTTTGAGTAGTTTGATTATAATGGACTACTTTTAGATGCTGTTCTTAAGTAAAATGCTGCAATTGAAAAAAGCACATTTGAGAGCTTAGTAACTTTTAAAGAACATATATAGGATCAGTACTGGCTGAAACTCAAGATTTCAGTGTTGGTATTGAAAAAACAAAACAAAAAACAAACTTATATGCCATCCCCATCACTTAGGGAGGGCATATATGATTCAACTATGATTATATGAAATAACATGAAATAACGTCTTTTTCGTTTTCTTCTGCTGAATAGTTTTTTTTATTTGTTTGTTTACTTTTGTCTCTTTCACTGCTAATGGAGCTCACAATCCTTTCAGCCTGGCTGCCTAATCTATATAGAATATTTTAAAATTATGATCCTGCATCTGTGTCTGCAAATCTGGTCTACATGGACTATGTGGATTTGATTGCTGAATTTGATGCCAGGAAGTTCAGGAGAGTCTATAAAAGCTGTGGTGAGTTGTTGGTCACTATGCAATATATTAAAGACTATCTGTTCCTGGATGGTAAGTGACATTATTGTAGCCTGAGGTACATTAGCTCATAGTTAAATCTAGATTTGACTTGACTTGCCCAGAGCTCACTCCTCAAGATGGTCCTGGTGCCACCTCTACACAATAGCTGAAGAGCATTTAGCCTAGAGGGTAGGACTGTTGGTGTAAACATATTTACAATATAACTGCTTTTAATGTTCATTTAGTCAGAAAATGATGGTTTCCAGTTATTACAACTATAATGCTCTATACTCTTTCCTTTCTGTGTGCCACATTTAGTGTTATAATTTACTCCACTTCTGGTTTGTGTTCATCAGTATTTAATATATTACTTTTATTGTACTTGAGAATCCAGACACTCCATGCTGTTGTAGGAAAGCTTTGTTTGAGCTGTTTTTTAAGCAGGAAAATTGTAGGTCATACACAGGGAAAAGGGAAAAAGCTATGCACTCCAGCATTAATTACCAAAGTTTCTTTCTTTCTACTATTGTTTTGTTGACCTAACAGCTAATTAAAGACTAAGAATACAGACTAAAAAGGCACTAAAATTCCTGCTCTAGGGTCAATTACTAAAGAACAACAACTATACCATCACACTCACCAGAGGTTCTTCTACCTCAAATCTGTCTTCTTTCAATGTCCAACAGAGGTTTTAGTTGAAGGTGGTAGGGAAGAAATTGAGAAGTGTCATGAACAAGGAGAGCACACATGGTAGTGGTGGTAAGTCACACTGGGTTGATTTCATATGAAGGCATGAAGATCCTATTTTTACCCATTGTACTTAAAGGGAATTTCACAGATTTTTCAAATATTCTGCATAATACAGTCTAACTTACCAACTCAGATTTTCTCTCCAGTGGTGGCGAAAGGAACCAATGGCTATAACACAAATATTGTATTTGCAGAAGTATTTTATTTTTTCAAAAAATTCCAAAGTGGGAAAAAATCCAAAATGAAACAATAATTCACTCTTGCTGAAACTGAAAGCAAAGGAAAGGAAGCTGTAATAAAGGCAAAGTGTCGGCACATTAAATACTGAAACAATTATGGTTAGTTTTGAGGCTTCTGTGTAATTCTCTGTTAAAGCTACACTATGTAAGATTTGGAGACCTCTTTGGTAGACACTCTTTGGCAGTGTGCAGAAGAACATTTTGTGACATCGACTGTGCTTCAGACACCTTGCCCAAGCAGATAAATCTGATGATTGTGAACGTGATGAAAGAGTATTCAAAGAGATTTCGGTCAAAACTTGGAGAAGGACATGTCTTCTGTGGATACAAGTAAATTAACTACTATTGTCATCATATCTTAATCAGTATAATGTTGATTTTGCATTTAAGACCTAATCATCAAGCCAGGTCTTCTTTCTGAGTCTATTAATTTTATTAATAAATAAAGGGGTATGACATGGTCCAAAAAACTCCCATGGAGTCCAACCCAATACCTCTGACTTTTAAATGACTATTAAGCGACTTGCAGCAGCACACGCACACCATATTTTAGTATGTTTTTATTCTCAGTAACAAAAATTCTTACAGGGTTCAGCCTTAAATATGTTTTCTAAACAGGACTTATTGGCCATTTAGACTGGAAATTAAATATACGATGGGTGGTTTTGCATATTAATGTACGTTTCAGACCAAATCTTTATTAAAACAGTGTCTCAGAGATCAGGCATTTCATGTAACAATTTTCTGTGATTTGGGCTTCACAGACATTAAACGCTTCAGACGTCTGCTTCCTATCACCAGAGCTGCGAACAGTCGTACTTTAGTAAGGATTTCACATCAAACCAATGTGAATAACTTTGTTTAAATCTTAACTCTTTAAATCCTAACTCTCAGGCAGAAATTTTGAAAAAAAATGGTTTCTTGAATTACCCTTTAAGAAACATGAATTGAAGTAAGACTTCAGTTCAGTGGTGCAGACTGGTAATCTATGAAAAGAACACAATCTGCTGTTTTGAGTGGTATATTTTGCTTATGCAGTGTCTATGCATCTGTGTGGCCAGAGATACCCCAGCCTGTCTTTCTGCTGTTGCTTCCGAAGGAAGCATTTGTGCATACCTTAACAGGTGTGGGGCTGGTAGGGAGTGTGTTCTCTGCCAATTTCTCTACCAGGGGGTTGGCTGGCTCCATCTCCGGAGGATGGGTGGCTCTCCAGTAAGATTCCAGGTATTCAGCTATGTGCTCACAGGCATCTGAAAGCTGGTTCTCGTCTAAGATGACATCAAAGATCTCCTAAAAGATGAAGTAGCAGGGATGAGTGTTAACCTTAACATGCACAATGAAGTGATTGTGCAAACCACAGAGCAACACAGAGAATCTATGTCACTGTCTGCCTCCAAGGTCCCAGGAGGTGCCTCACAACATGAGGCAATTTAAAAATAACAGTCTCTTGGTAATCAAATCAAGTGGACTCTGATTAAAGCCTTAAGCAAGATTGAAATGAGAGGACACGCAAGGAAATAAGAGCAACTATAAAAAAGGAGGACATCCAAGTGGTCTTTCTGAATGCTAACATAAGGTTCAATTTGATTTCTCAAGACAGATCAACGACACAGCAAGTCATCTGTGATGTTCTGTGATGACACAAATAGTAAAAAGAGTGCTTTTTCTTAGAAAGCTTGATCGTGTTTTACTTTATGGACTACATGTCACCAACATTCCCGCTCTTGTGGCATTAAATTGAGCACAGAGCACGAACTGGCTAATGAGGACACACTTACATTAGGACACTGGGCAAGTTTATCTGCAGCCACCAGCTGAACGTTGAGATGTTTGGTCTGACTCTTTCCCCTGGTCTTTATCAACCTGGTGAGAACCTGAAGCATCAGAGAAAGAAAAAGGAGAAGGAGGAAGACAGATGAACAGGAGATGAGTAGGAGCAGGAGGGATGGAAGTAAGACTACTAGTACCTGGCCACTTCCACCACTGATTGTGCAGCACAGATTTCTACTATTCACACATACATAATAAAAGTCCTACAAGGTACTAATTCCATTTTTGAGTAACACTATGAACAGTAGGGTCTTTAATTATCAAACATCATGTTAACACTATTATAAGGCTGTTATATATATGCTTATGATGACTGATTAGTTTTGTTTGTGAACTGCTAACTAAACTGGGGTACTGAACTGCTGGGGGTCCAAACCTTGGGGGATGAGATCTTGACATAGACAAGGATGGGGGCCAGGGAGGTCTTGCTGAGCTGGAGGGGATGGTTTATGGTATCCGCATCCAGGACCACCAGCTGCAGGCTTCGGGCCAGCTCGAAGATCCTCTCCACCTCGCCTTGGATCTGAGCTGCAGGGACATGGGAGCGCAAGTTAACTTCAAAGGATCAAACAATGCTTCAATATGACCAAATATGCACATCTGTCGCATGTGGTAAGTTTCTACAGACAATAATTTCAGTGCATTTATCTATACATAGTACTGTACAAAAATCAGTGACCAACCTTTTAATTTCAAAAAAATGGCCATTAAATGCAAGTTATTTGTTTTTCAGCATCAGGCAAAAAAAGCTGAAAACACATATCTAAAAGAAAATTACACAGAAACCTAAACAACTAAATATAGAACATTCAGTATTTAGTGTGTCCAGTTTGGTCTTCATTACAGCTGCTTTTCAGAAGACCTGCTTTCAGTTTTCCAAAGAAATCTACAGGGATATTTTTCCACACCTCCAAAGTTTAGTCTTAGAAGTTGGTTGCATTTCCTGCTTCTTACTATTCTGCTTCTCATTCAATGATGTTGAGGTCTGGACTCTGGGATGGTCAGTATATTCTGAGAACACCAGCAGCTTCTTCGTTTGATTTGCAAATCAATCGGTTTTTCTATTTTTTTGTCTATTTCTTTTTCTCTGTAAGGACTTCTTGACAGCTACACATCCTTTCAGACTCATAGTGTTGAGTTGTCTTCTCACAGTAGAAAGATGGACAGAAACACCTGCGGATTTTTTCAGGTCTGAAGCAAGAGTGGAGCTTGATTTTCTCCTCTCTCTCAAAGATGAAAGCTTTAAGTACTGTTTATCTGATGAATGACCATTTTGGTGGTCTACCAGGTTTCACATGGTTGTTAGGAGGCCCTTGTCTCTGTCGTTTGCTCATTTCTGCAACTCCAGTTTTAGAAACCCCTGTTTTCTTCACATATTTTCCTCTGACATTCCTCTTCTTTATGCAAGTGTATTAATGTTTTATGAATCTCATCAGAAATAATGGCTGAAAATGATGAATAATTTGTCCTAAATGGTTGTTCTCACTGGAAAAAAGAGAGAGTGGTCTCTGATTTTACACAGTACTGTAGTAAAATATAGAAAACCTGTTGACTCAAAACAGATTAGTAAGAAGCCAATGGGCAGGGCCTATTTCTGTAAAGCTTTAAGATCATTTTAGTTGTTATGGCATTCAGTCCTTTGACTTATTCTCGTTCTCATCTCTGAAAGCATTAGCACTGGATTCAGCTTATTCAGCCTAATAAAACACCCAATAGTAAGACCATTATATTTTCATGGTAAATATGATAACTAATGTGTAAAAAAATGACCAAAATATGCTGAATGAATGGCACAGTATATGGTACAAGACACTATGAATGGTCAAAGATAGCATTCAGCTCCTGTGCAAATAAAGGGCTAGCATCGCAGAACATGGCAAACATGCTGAACATAAACCAGAAAATGTCCCTCCAAACTCCAGCTCGCTGTGAACTACACAGTACTAGCTATTCTCCACAACATACAAAAGAGGTCTGATACATTTTATACTGAAGCAAACACAATTTTACTTTTTTCTTTAGCCAGAGCCTAAATGGACCATTCTACCAAATCAGTTCAAGCTGTAGTCTCTCAGTAAAAACTATTCAAAAAACAATGACATATTCAGATCCAAGGCATTAATTGAGATAGCAATAAGCTAATTATATACAAAATGATCATTTATAATGTACTTTTCACTGGGAGGTAGCTGTCCTAAACCTTGACCCCTAAATTAACACTTGTGAAAATGATACTTTAATTTTGCTGATCTTTTTGCTTTTTTTTTTGAAGGGAAGTTGAAAGATTTAGATATATAATAACTTTAATTTTTCAGTGAAACTTTATTCAAAAAATGCTGTCACACTTTTCACACGTCACTACCGAAACACAAGAGTATTAGTCCAAAGGCTGAGTCTTATTTTAGCCACATCGCTGCATTTTAGAGCAGGAAGTGAGACAGTCAGATCTCATTGTTTTAAAGTAAATGTGTTCCAAAGTCTGAAAATCAGTGGTTAACATTAAGAACTGTCATTACTGAAACATGTTTTCTGCCATTAAGTAAACTATTTTTGTATTTTAATGAAAAAATATTAGGGTTATGAATGTACAGCTGTTCAAAGCTGTGTAAGCTAGTCTTGTCCTGGCTAGTATTTTTAAGTTCTGCCTAAAATTAGCTAACATCGTCACTCCCGAAACAGTCACTACCTAAACATTTGGTAAAATTTCAGTAGTGTTATGACTGTTTTGTTAGTGACAAAATGGAACATTCAATCATTTGATTTAAGAAAATAAACATAATTAAGGCATAAAGTCGCTCAAAGCAAATAGATTTTAGTCTGAAGTCCAAGTCATTTAGAAGTCTGAAATGTGCCTTCAACTCTAACTTTGAACCAATTCGATAGAATGGTACATATACCCCTAACTCAGTATATATCAGGACTCTCTAGCACTTTTGATTGTGCTACTGCTAATGGAATGTAAATGGTTGCTCTGAAATCAACAGGAATGGGTTCGGGAGCGATACATACCAGCGGCGTCTGAGGCAAGAAAGCAATGTGTGGGACAGAGCGGAGAGAACCAATCAGTCCCCTCAACAGTGTGAGCAACTGTAGCTAGCTATACACTTCATATCCCCACTGAGCCAGAAAACACTGTCCACTTTTACCCCAGCATTAGAGTACAACAGTAAAATAGTGTTGTTTTTTTATATGGAGTAGGAGAAGGTTTTCCCAGTAAGTGGGGAATTGCCTTATTAACAAAAGCACCTACATCCTTATGGTCTTGTATCATGAAGTGGCAAAAATTTGTGTTTCAGTCAGGCTGAAAAGAATGCAAATGCTTTAGTAATACCTTTCCTGATACCCTACGACCACTGAATCTGAGATCAGTAAAGAGCACAGAACACTAGGGCCATATGTATGAAAGCAGAATCCCCCAGTAAAGTGAGGTGCACACGTATTTCTCATTTTGGAATACTGACTGGGTCAGTGGGACCAGTGCCCAAGGGCCTCTGACCACAAGGCCCTAGGCAACTGGGGACAGTCCACTGCAAATACAAAAATTAGATGAATGAACTGTCCTTGATTATGTAATGACTGAATAAACTTAATAAAAACCCCTGGGCCCATATCTGCCACTATATTCAAAGTAATTAAAGCCCCCGCCCCCAAATTCAGAAACGTGCAGAAATATAACTGTGCAGAAAATGATAGGCTATTGCCCATTAATTGAGAATTAGTAACATTATTTAAGTTAGCTTCTTACATTACATTTTGCTGTTTAAAAGTGCACTTAAACAAACATGAGCTATTTATTAAAGTTATTTTTCAGGCCTTTTTTTCACTTATTGTCAGAGTGAGGGGATGAGGGGCTTCCAAAGATGCCCCATGAGACCCTATTAGTTAGTCGCTAAGCCTCCAAAGATAGACAATGAAAGAAGTCTCTATCCATCCATTTTTGGAAGCTTTATGTATGTAGACACAGCCTTTGTCACTAATTATATTATGTTATTTTGAATTTAGGCTGGGGGGAGCCTGTCTGGTTCAAACGAAATAGACTAGTGTGAAAATTAATCGTGTTGATTTACCAAACGTTTCAGCCTCTGTTACAATGGGCCCCTCGGTTTGTTACAATTCACCCCACTTTTGCATTCCCTCCACTTTTGGCTGAATTGTTTCCAAACGGTAGGCGCTGGAAACCATTAAATTTGTAGCAGAGAAGTGTAGACTACTGAAAACAATCAAATACTTTTAAATAACATTATTAAGCAAATACCAAATTGTGCCCCATTCTCCTCTGTCTTAGAATTTTCTTAGAGTTTTAAACATTACTCTGCTCAGTTAAGTCATAACAGCATTATAGTTTGCATTAGCATAAAGGTATATTCAACTTTGCCTTCTGTTCAAAACAAACCAATGCCATTATGCTATGCTCTGTAGTTATATAGGATTCAACAGACTACTAAAGTCACATTTCCAGTTAATGCTACATAAATTCTTTCCATGAGTTGTCAGTAATTCCCATTCTCCCTCATCATAGTTGCTCAGCGCAATTTTTATGTACATACATATATATGTTCATACATTTGGCCCCTGGAATGTAATGTCCAAATGAAAGATGATGAGTCTGAAACAAAGCATTACCGAGGCTGGAGCGCGTGTTGGAGCGATCCATTATAGCATGTTTGCTGGGGTTGTTCAGGATCGACCGCTTAGCAAGAGCAATATCTGCCGTCACCCGAGTGATTGTTATTCTATCAAAACAAGACAAAGAAGAAAAATAGACATGAAATATTCTGCAAAAGAACCTGGAAAGGTTTTATGGCTGCATCAAATAATCAGACTGTGCGAAAAAACATTTCACAAATAAATATTTAACAAGCTAATTAACACTGCAGTGGCTACATACCTGCCTTCAAATCTGTGTTTTAAAAAATCAAAGAGTGCCTTTTGCATCATGTCTGTAACCTGTAAAAAAAGAAAAAAGGGGAGAGATGGGGAGAAGGGAGGAGAAAAGAGGAGAGGAGAAAAGAGGAGAGAGGGGAGAAAGGTTGAGAAAGGAGGGGAGGGAGGAAAGGAGTGGAGGAGAGAGGAGAGATGAGAGAAGGGGAGGAGAGAAGAGGAGAGACGAGAGAAGGGGTGGAAAGAAGGGGAGAAAGGAGGGGAGTGGAGGAAAGAGGAGGAGGGGTGAGTGAAACTTTAATCACCACATAATCTGTTCATAAGCCCTGTTAAATCCTCAGGAAGGTGGGCTGTAAAGTCAGAGCCGAACACTAGAGGGAGCAGTAAACTCTGTTTATAAGGTGACTTGCTCACAAGTGTGGACCATCTGTTGTCTACGAACTGTAGGGCTGCATGATATGGACATAATGCCAGTATTGTGATTTTATTTTTGCAATATGAGGTAACTTGGGGGAAGAAGCCCTCCAAAGTAAAATGTTCCCACCCCTTATTCCCTCAGTCTAATCTTAACACATTCACTGACTGTGATCTAACAAATTCTGAGATTTTATCTTTGCATTTGTGTGATTTATTCAACATAGGATAATAGTGATCTGTTCATTTCTATTAACTTGTCCAAAAACATTATATACAATGATTATGGGGGTTATGAGCAGTATGTTTGGTTTTGAGAGGATATTTATTTATTTATTTATTTATTTATTTATTTTAAAGTAAAAATATAAAGTCAGACCTTTGGGACAATAAGTCCTCCCAGACAAAGGACAAAATGTCCCCTTCACTATTTTGCTCATAAAATTAATGTAGTTAGATTTTTCAGTTGAAGAGTTACATCCAAATCTGATTTGTGTTGTCATGATAATAATTCAAAAATTAGATGTTGAATGCTATCGCTTGGTTATGATGATGATGATGATGATGATGATTATTATTATTATTATTATTATTATTATTATTATTATTATTATTATTGTTGTTATTATTATTAGTATTATTATTATTGTTGTTATTATTATTAGTATTATTATTATTATTATTATTATTATTGTTTAAACAACAACAACAACATTATAATTAATGTAATCACAATGACCATTTATTTAATTAACAAACAAATACCTGATTTTTCAATTTTACTTTTATTTAATTGTTTTACCATACCTTATTAAAATTAATTGGAATAATTAAGACATCACTTAATAGAAGGCTTAATTTAATTTTTAATACTTTTTTGATTGTTCTGTTTTACTTTGCTTAATAGGGCAATTTTGAAAGGTGCACAGACTAGAAATGCTTTGAGAATTATAAATGATACATTCCACAAAACTTCATTAAATGGTTGAACACAGTGTTTGTCAGGAGGGCTTCTTATCCCCTAATCTTAAAATCTTCACATTTTTTGTTCTATAAAAAACAGATTTGACTGCTTTTCAAGTTTATTTCCCCTAATTAAATGCTCAACTCATGCACAGATCCTGTTTAGCTAACTGTAAATGGACGTTGTTCTTAAAGGGGGCATCAGCCCTATTTTCCCCTATTAAAAATCAATCAGTAATGTCAAAGATGGTTTTGTTGGATTATATGTTGCATTTTGGAGTCTCTGCAATATCAGCATGTAATGATATAATGATACCAATATAATGGTAATTGTTAATAAAGGATACTTTAATGGTAGGTAATGGCTCATTTTGTTTCAGCTGCTAGTTTTATCAAGGATTTAGCCTAAAGAGCAACCTGCAAAGATTCTGACTGTAAGGTAATAGGCACCTCATAGCCCTTGAGGGAAGGCCCCATCAGCACCACGGGGCGCATGGAAGGCACAACGTCATACGCTGCCAGTTGCTCCCCCTGCAAAAATCAGTGCAAAGATCATTTTTTTGGGTGTGTTTGCAGGTCATACCATAAATTGTTCATTAAAATGAGAGTTTATAGATATGTATGCAGAGTAAAGCTAATGATTTATAAAAGGTAAATGCAACATCAGTAGAAAAGCAACGTATTAGGGAAAGGAGAAAGACATTCACTGTAGAAAAAGTAGGCTGGATCACACTCCAAGTGTACTCACCGATTTCTTCTTCACTTGCTGAACTGTGGTGTAAGATTAAGAGAGGGCAAAAATTACATTTCGTGCAAGCATGTGAAATAATAAAGCACCTCCTTTTCTCACCTCTCTGCCCCATTAAAAGCCCTAATGTGCGCTATTTCATGCTATTAGTACTGTTAATGAATCATTTGAGGACGAATAGGCAACTCATGTTGGACATTGTGTTCTGAGATAATCATGTTTGATCTAACCTAATTAGCATGCTAATGGAACGGTGAGAGGCTATAGCACTGTGGGCATTCAATCAGGTGACCTTGCCTAGCGATTCATTTGAGCTTACCTGTCGGAGGGGGAGTGACTTTCTTCGAGTTCATATCATCTTTGGCAGAGCTTGCTGCTTTGCTGGAATGACAAATGGGTGATTTCATCACATTACATTTTAACCGTCTGCAGAAATCTTCAGTATGTCAACTTAAATCTGTACATTACTATGCAAACGCTCAGCAGCATTCAAGCGCATGAAAGCTGCTTGATATATTGGATGGGATGCTCTGCAAGAAATGAAAGAAGTTTACTTGGCTAGGGCTTTGGCTGCCTTCCTGGCTTGGACCTCTCTCCTGATGAGAATGGTCTCCAGGTTGACCGGGCTGGGGATGAAACCCACCTCCCCTCCCTCTTTCACCGGCCGCCCAATCCACCAGTCATTATTGAACTTCTGCAACATAACACAATGATCAGCTTAAGACCAGCACTGACATCTCAATTAACCTCTCAAACAAGGGCGCTCTTTGCACTGGGCAAAGGTAGGGCCTCCCTGAGCTCTCATGAAAATTAGATGTACTGTAGATGTTGATGTTCAATAACCTCTTCTGGACTATATATACACTTTAACAATAGCTGATATTTGCCATTGTAGTGGTTATTTTCCATCATTTTAACCTCTTAAATGGCCATGGTCTGACAGTGTGCTAAAAGTCTTAGTGTGTAACAAGCCTGGGATTTTAAGTGGATAAAGCAGCCACACCTCCTGGTCATGGTAATAATGGCTTATTCCATGTTGTTAAGTGATGATACAACTGCATAAGGACAGAAGGGTATCAGCAAGTCAATTAAGCAATAATCTACATTATGGAGAGAAGATTCTTTTGGGTGTTGAGAGGGGAAATCAAATAAAGTGATTCAAGTACAGCAAAGAAAGAGTTCTGCATAGGCTCAGCAGACTTACATAATGCAAGTGTTAATGTTAGTGTAGATAGCTCCAGTGTTTAATTACTCAAAAAAGTAATCCATTACAAAGCTACTAATAACTTTTCTCAGAATGTAATAGGATTATGTTTACTTTACTTTGTTGGCAGTTAATTTTGCTTGTTTCAAGCATTATTTCTTAAAACAAGTAAAAGTGTCTGCCAATTAGTGAGATAATTTCACTTAATAAAATTACTTATGTAAAAAATACTTACGGCCTAAAACTTAAGGAACCTCAACTAATTTAACAATGTGCATTTGGGAGTTTGGGGCATGGGGGGGCTGTGGGCATGCCTGACTTTTGACTAGACCCCAGAATCAGTAAATCCACCCCTGCTCTCCACAACAGTGTTAAAACTAAAAACTTTGTAAATAGTTCTTGGCTTGGACATAGTTGGACATTGTAGCTCAAAGAAAAACCTGGTGTTAACTGGTAGTGAATCTTTATGTGGAGGTTCATCACAGCTAAGCAACGAATCAGGCAAAAATAGAATTGTGTGTAGTTTTGAACTTAACTTAGCAGCCAGTTGACATCATGCAAACTGCATGTCTAAATCATCACACACTTACCTTAAACTGTGTTGAGTTGTTAAGTAATCTCAGATAGACTGCTTATGTTTTCTGACACTGTGGTCTTGAAGCCTTAATGTCTGTAATTTTGTACGTAATTTTGTCCATTTTTATAGATAACAGTGCCGGAAACCACATAAGCAAGTCTATTAGAGATTACTTAAAGGTTCACAGATTTCCCAAAATTTCAGCATAATTAAATGGTTCAGATGTAAACAGAGTCATTCAGAGTGGTTTGGTGTGAAATGCTTTGTTCTTTCAGAAACTTTCACAGTTAGAATTTTCACAGTGGTGGTGAAAGGACATCAGAGCAACCTCACAGAAGGTTATTGAACAAAATGGTTATGAATATGTTGCCTGACGCCTTCGAGAAGGTTTAGGCCTAAAGCATATTTTTTAACATCCACATGAATGAAATATATGACATCAACACTTAAGTTCATGAAACACATAATTTGTGTGGAGCCCTTGTACACATTTGAATCATGTAAATTCAACAACTTTTAGTGTACAAAAGTGTTTCACATCAAAACATTGAATGACATCTTAACATTTTACATCTCAACGATTGAAATACGAAGAATATTTTTAAAAATCAGTGCAGTTCCCTTATAACAACTGGACGTGGACTGAGGCAAGTGTGTGATGATGATGCTTGCATGATGCTGATAGGTGAGGTATAAGCTTCCTTTGCTTGTGCCTCATTGCTCCAGTGCAAAACTGAAGAAGCAAACTTAGGGGCAAAAATATGTCTTGGCTGATTACATTTGTGGAAAGGAGACATTTGTGTGCATTTTTGGCTTAACTATTGCTTTAACGTTAGGCTGATAAAATGTAGGAGTGTTTACTGCCCCCTCACCTCTTTGACATGCAGGAAGTCTTTAGCCTCAAAGGAAACCCCGTGTCCAGGTATTGGGACATTGTCGTCATCGGCAGGAGTGTAGGTGTAGTTCGTGCGCACAGCGAATGCAACAGGCTTATACTGCCAAAAAGAAACAGGCAAGAGGCATTTAAATTGCAAAATGGTTTCGTGATTCACCCAATGTAATAATCAAATGAGTGTAAAATTCTGTATTTCTCATCTCTTCCTCTGGAACCAGCATCTGATTTAAAAGTGAGCAAAGATAAGAAATGTGTGAACTTCTGTGAGAACAACTGGAGTTTGAATGCATAGATCAGGGCAGCCTAAAGTGTGGCCCACCAGCCAAAGATGGCCTGAAAGGATGTTTAATTTGGTCTGTCTGTATGAGCCTACCCCCACTCCCTCACCCAAAGAGACAACAAACATATAAGTAACTACATATAACTTTAAAAAAAAAATCTTGTTTTCCATTTTTAAATCAGGATTTTTGAAAGTATTTAATAACATAAATATAGAAAAAAGCACAGTTTAGCTATTGGAGTCTGTTTTATTTTGACCATATTATATTAGCCAATATAATATTGAGTTCAGGTGTTCAGGTCTTTGCTAACAGGTGTATAAAATCAAGCACATACTCATGCAAACTCCATAGCAAACACTGGTGGTAGAATGGGTTGTACTGAAGAGCTCAGTGACTTTAAACATGGCACTGTCATAGGATGCCACCTTTTCCAGTTTGTGACATTTCTGCTCTGCTAGATCTGCCCCAGTCAACTGTAAGTGAAATGAAAGTGTTTGTGACCAACAACAGCTTAGCAATGAAGTGTTAGACTATGCAAACTCATACTACAGGGCTGCTAAATGTTTAAGCTCGCAGCATGTAAAAATCACTTCTGTTGCATCAGTGACTACACTGAGTTCTGATTAATGAGTACTGAGTTCCAAGTTGCCTCCGAAAGCCATATTAGCACAAGGACTGTGCATTGCAAGTTCAATGAAATAGGTTTCCATGGCTGAGCAGCTGCACACAGGCCTAAAAACACTATGCACAGTACCAAGTGTCAACTGGAGTGGTGTAAAGCACATCAGCACTGGACTCTGGAACAGTGAAACGTGTTCTCTGGAGCGATGAATCATGTTATCTGGAAGTCTAATAGACAAATCAGGGTTTTGGCAGATGCCCAGAGAACACTACCTGCTGGAATGCATAGTACCAACAGTAGAGTTTGGTGGAGGAGGGATAATGGTCTGGGACTGGGTTTCAGGGTTTGGGCCTCTAGTTCTAGTGAAGTTAATGCTACAGCATACAAAGACAGTTTACACAATTATATACTTCCAACTTTGTGGCCACAGTTTGGGGAAGACCCTTTCCTGTTCCAGCATGACTGAGCCCCTGTGTACAAAGCAAGGTCCATAAAGACATGGTTTCATGAGTTTGGTGTGGAAGAACTCCAGTGGCCTGCACCTTTGAGATGAACTGGAATGTCAACTGTGAGCCAGGACTGTTTGTCTAACATCAGCTTCTGATCTCACAAATGCTCTTTGGACTGAATTGGCACAAATTCTCATAAACAGACCTTGTGTGCAGAGTGGACCAAAAAGCCCATGGTTTTGGAATGGGATGTCAAACAAGCTTATACAGGTGTTTTGGTTGGGTGTCCATACTTTTGGCCATATAATGTCTGTTAAAGGGAATTCTTGTTTAACATAATTCTGCCTCTACTCTTCTGAGAAGTAAAGTCATTCAGAGTGGTTTGATGTGATTATGTTCTCGAGAAACTTACTGACTCAAATTTCTTTACAATATTTGTTATTGCCCTGTAAACCTATACATGTCTTCAGAGTTTTTATATGATGTTCATAATAATAAAATAATTCTAAATCTGAAAAACAAAAAGTTTTCTTTGGGGACTATTTTGCCTTACAACACCCTGCTTGTACTTCCCCAGCATTAATGGATTTAATATGATGTTTGAGGGGAAAAACTTATCTCAAAACTATCATAACACATTTCATGTAATAACTTTCTTTTAATGCCTTTCAGAGGCATTAAACACTTCAGTCTGGTACCTATGAACAGCACAGTAAACAATTGTAGGGAGAAACTGTAAGTTTCTCTAGAACACAGCATTTCACACCAAACCTCTCACAGTGACTTTGTTGACAAACATTGAATTTTGAGATCTGAATTGTGAAAAATCAGCAGGATCCCCCTTTAACAGGTTTTTTGGCTCCTTAAAATCTGTATCAGAACTGGTGACAAAATTTTCATGTCCGTCAGGCCCTAATTTGGACCAGCAGTGGGGCCACTGAGAGAGAAACACTGCTGCACTCAGCATCTGAGCAGTTGCACATGTGTTACATTGCCTATGGCACAGTACTAATTATATCTCTCATTCATTTAGTTTCAGACCAGATGAAATGCATGAGTTCATCTTCAAAGGGCTCCAGAGTGGACCAGTTATGGGAGACACAGTCAAGCTGAAACTATAGGGCTTAAGGTGTACGTGTGTTCAGGAAGGTATGGGAGACCTCCTGTGCTCATGTGTGCAACCACAGCATCATCAGACCACCTTTAGGGCTAACTCTGAGTTGTGTATGGCCTTCTGAAGCTAGCATTTATGTGCAATGGCGGTTTTAATACACCCCCTATGTTGTTCATATCAAGGCAGGGCCTTTTTTGACTGTAAATGAACATTTAATTATTTAAGCATAATTTACATCCAAAAACATGATCATTTACAGGTAGATCACATTTACACAATTTTCTTAAGCAACACCATTTGATATGACTGAGACCCTGGGAACACAGAGTAAAAAACAGCAATTTTATAATGTATTAAGCTAGAGTTGAATGTTATATTATGAATCCAGAAAGTCCAAAGGAAAAACACAAAAACAAAATGGAGATATAATAAAACACAGCTTACAAAAACACTAATATGTCTGGGTCCCAAAGATTGTAATGGGAACGCTTGATTGACATCTCAACAGATGAAAAAATTAAGAGACACGCAAACAGACAGACAGATGAGCTATCTTGATACCTCAGTGATGCTTCCTAGGTTAGCTTTCGCTCGGTTGTTAGCTTTCGATCGATTAGCAAGGTAGCATAGTAGGAAACACATAGTTTCCCAAGATTAGGACCAGTTATTCATATAGCATAATTTGAACATTGTGCGCTCACAAGACCAAGATTAACTGGATTAGAAGGAAAACATCATTTTAGGTTATCTGGGTCTTTAACAGCTTCATGTAGTTTCAAGCAACTGTGAGGTGATTTATGCCTGTGGTTAGTCTTGCAGGGCCAGAGGGACAACCATGAGAAATTTTGGGCTTTTGTGTTTTTTTAGCGTGGCATGTGTAAAATTTCTAAACCAAGTAGAGGGCGATTGTGTATTTGTCAACATTGTCCAACAGACAACAAGCCTGTTGTTAGACCATGGCTGTAATGTAGGTTAGCAAGCCCCCCAAAAAACTCCAGAGAAGCATGTAGATGTATATCATGTATAGGAAGAACACATTACATATACACATAAACATTACCTCTCGCAAGGGAAAAAACACTAGCATTCAGTTTACTTGTGTTATTGATGATACTCTCAATATAAAAAACCCTGACAAAAGAAATTTAGGAGTGGGTTTTAGAGGAGGCACAGCCTTGTCAGCACCAGATTCCACACCCCAGCTCTGTATTCTAATGAGATTATGTCTGCATAATAATATGCATGGTGCTAATTGGTAGAGTATAAGCTTCTATTACTTGTTAGCTACAGTAGTCTCACAGCTTCAGGTCCAAACTAAAGAAGAAAACTCGTTTAGGAAACTAAACATACCTTGGGTGTTCAACATTTGGGATAAATCTGATTTGGGTTTAAACAAGATTTTTCAGCAAACCTTTCCTTTAAGAACAATGTCCACTTACTTACACTACAAGCAAAATCTCCTCACAGATATTGCAGACTGTTTTTTTTGGTGCTATGTGCCTAACAGTATGCATGTGGTGGAACTGGTGGAACGCATAGGCTGTCCCAAATAGCCCTTCTTTGCGGTAAATGACAAGAGCACTAACACGTGTTAAAAGTAATATACTAAAACTTAAACAACTTAAGATGTTTCATGTTCCATTTACAACAAAGTCAAATGTCAACATTCTGGCAATCAAGCTGTTAACTGCCCCAATTTGAAAGGTGAGGGGAGCAAGGTGGCTGAACTAGGACGAGACATTGCTTATTCAGTTTAATTAAAAAACACCTCAGGGAGTACATGAAAGGAGGCAGGGGTATTCACTGAGTTTTCAGAGGAAGGCTAGGAACCTGACACATAAGGAATCTATCAGTCAAAGAGCTCTAGTTAACATGTTGTTTTTGTTTCACAGGAAAATATGGGCTAGATGGGCCTATATGTGCCTTAACGGACTAGGAAGTTTTAAAAAGGACAAGTTTCAGAATTAACCCTTTTGTGCAGAAGTAAAAAAATAGTTCATTTTGATTTACTCTTCTTATTAAGTAATGTGGTCTATCAATACTGTTATCACATCTATTTTCAATGACATGAATCTGAAAATTTATAGACTTCTGTAATGAATACTTTATTTAAGTCACCTTGAACAAGGGAGGTGGAGGAAAAACATGTTAATATAATTTTCTCCAACCCACTTGTGCATTGTGATGTAAACGAAACTGTGAATATGTATTAGAAGTGGGCAAAACCCACTGCATATGACAAAAGACTACTTTAAAAAAGAAAAAAAGACGTGAAATGACAAATGTTGTTTAATATGACCAGGGACATGACCATGTAAAAAAGTTTCATTCTGATTTCAGTTCGACGTTAAAGGTGGTGTCTACAAATCTAAGAAAAGTTTATTTTGTTCTATAAGACAGGGTGAGTTCTACAAGGACTTCTGGCTACCCAAAAATTTTACCGTAATTTAATACAGAGGTATTTGGGGGAAAAGCAGAAAGTCCCTCATATAAGCGCCTGTAGCATTGTTAGGCTGCCTAACTAGCTAATTATTTACTTATCAAAACAAACCATACACTGGTAAAACTTTGTGAACCCTTTAGAATTTTCTGAATTTATACAAAAAACCTATAATGTGACCAGATGTCCATCTAAATAATAATAGATAAAAAGAACTTAATAAAGCAAACAAGTATATATTTTTTAATTTATTTATTGAACAAAGTAATCCAACATTAAATGTCTTTGTTGGCAAAAGTATGTGAACCTCTAGAATGTTTGGTAAAAGGAATAATTAAGGAGGTTCAATCAATTGGGTGACCCTGCCCTATTTCTAAAACATCAACTTGAGATTTCACCATCAAAGTCTAATCTCCACCACACACGTTGGTGAGCGTACACCATGCTTTAGTCAAAGGAGATTTCTGAGGTTCTCAAAAAAACAGTTGTTGATGCTCATCATGCAGGAAGAGCTACAAAAAATCGAAAGAGTCTGGACTTCACCAATCCACTGTCAGGCTGTGTGCAAATTCAACACTGTAACCCTTGCCAAGAGTGACTGTCCAAGAAAAATCACTCCAAGAAAAAGGCATATAATATTCTGGGATATCACCAAGAACCACAGGGCAACATCTAAAGATCTGCAGGCCTCTCTTATACGGGCGAATGCCAGTGTTCATGAATCCAACATTACACAAGAATAGTGTGTATGGAATGATAGCTGGGCGGAAGCCACTATTCACAAAGAAAAACATTGTTTCCTGTTCAAAGTTTGCTAAAGACCATGTGGATGAGCCAAAAGACAATAGAACAAATCTTATGTGCACTGATAATGCCAAAATAGATAAGCATGCTGTTTGGCAAAAACTCAACATTGCATTTCAGCATAGGAACTTCATTCAACAGTGAAACATGGTGGTGGTGGTATCATAGTTTGGGACTGTTTTCCAGCCATTGGACCATGAAAGCTTGCCATCATTAATGGTACTAGGACTTCTGGATTGTATGGAGAAAATTTTACAGAAAAGTATCCATCCATGAACTAACATTCAACAGGTCTTGCAGCAAGACAACAACACACTAGCTGAGAGGGACTAGCCATCAGGAGGACTGGGACAATTCCTGGTGGCCTGCTATGTTTGTGGCCCACTGAGAGAGTGTGAAAGAAAGAAATACATGGTTGTTTCTAATGTAGTCCTATGTAAAATGAATAGAGACCACCCAGGACAAACAGCATATGCCTGGCGAATACTGGAGTGCACATTTCTAGATATATAGGGGTGTGGAGGTCATTGTAGTTGCAGTGGGCTGGTCTAGATAAAAGTCTAGGGCTGAATTTAGTTCTCAGTCCAGCCCTGCACACCAGTCAGTCTACCAAAACAATGGTTGAAGAAAAAGATAAAATGTGCTTTGGAATGCCTGACTCAAAGTCCAGACCTCAGTCCAATAGAAATGTTGTGGTAGGACCAGAAGTGTGGACTTTATGTAAGAAAGCCCACCTATGTCACTGAGTTAAAGCATTTCTGACATAAGGAATGGGACAAAATTCCTCCATGTCAATGTGTTGGACTGATCAACAGTTTCAGGAAATGTGTAGTTGAACAAGGGGGTCACTTCAGTTCCTGAAAGAGGAGGATGTGCAAAACTACTAAATAACATTATGATTATGGTAACAGGTATCATTAAGAGCAATAGTACGTATATGTGCACCAGAGCAGTTTGCAAGAAATGTAGTGTACCTTGGCCTTCTCCAGCTGAACCTGAGCATTCTTCTCCTTCTCCTCAGCGGCCCCTGAGTCCTGACGGTCCGCCGAACCCTAACACAAAAAGAACACGAGCTAATAAGAAGGACTGGATCAGAAAACTGAAGACATGCAACTGCAAACAACAAAGCAGGAGGTGGAAATGAAACTGGTCAGCAAGTGTTTGATGGGCTCATAAAGAGACATGGGTAATGTTTACTGGAAAGTGAAAAGCTCAGTTTCCTGGAACATTTTCTCAATCTCATTCAGATGCAGTTAAACTCTTTCTGACATGCACTGTCTCAGCCTGTTACTCTCCTACAGTAGCTGTCCTCTCCACATCATGGGGAGAGGAAAGAGGAAGAGATGATCAGAAACTGATCTGAATTTCAATTCATCTCCACAACTCAAACAAATGCTAACATCCACTTAACAGGTAAGCTAAAATGTATGCTTTTCAGTTTTACTAATAAAATGAAATAAATCCATTGTACTTTTAGGGTTTGGCCTTAAAGATGAATGTGTAGGTCAATATCAATATTTAAGTCTAAAAACTTTAGGGTAGTTCTCACATCCAGTGTAAAAGTCAAGTTTAACTGTTCCACTGGTGCATTAATTGAGTAGTCAAAACTGAGTAGTGGCATGGCATGCTACCAACATGTTCGCTATAAAATTTTTTGTTTGTATTTTGTACCTACAGGCTCAACAAGGAACACTGTAGCAAGTTAGAGAAGTTAGGCAGCACCAACATTTAGCAGGGACCTTTATGCTAAATATTTGAACATGGCTTACATGATGGCAACATCGACAATACGCTGTCAGTTTGTGAAATGTTGCTTTTGGCCTAATGAAACATCTTTATAACTCATAACTCAGTGACTTTTAAGGTGCTAGTTAGCCAAGCTTCTCACAGTGTAGTGAGTGCACACATGATGTAGCAAGATAGATATATTTAGCTAGCTAGCTAGCTTTCTTCTCTGCTAGAAAAATAGTACAGACCAGCATGGCTGATCGCCAGCAAAAACAGAATATGTTGTGTTTTGATGCTGGTATGCTGCATGCCATATCGAGCATGACCAAGCTAGGGGTGACCAGCTGAACCAAAACCAGACCAATAGACCAACACAGACCAGTTTAAATGAGCATGAAATGCTTGCTGGTCTGTGTTGGTTTTTTCAGCATGTTAAATTTCACATCTAAAATGACAAATGCCAACAAGTTGGGAGAATTAAATGAAATTAAATAATACACTTTTTATTCAGTACACATTAACTCAGCAATACTAAGGTATTCAAGTAATAATAATAAATACCCAACCACGTTTTATGCAGTGTCGTTTGGGCAGTGCTGAAAAACCTGTGAAATCGCTGCAATGGATATCAGAGGATCAAATTTTGTCATAGGTAAAGCAAAGCAGGATGCGTTTGACATTTCCTGTGATGTCATGAGCTTGTTAAATCAGGGATGTGCTCACTCCAGCATGTAGGCAATGGCTGTGACTGCACTGTGGCATAAATGATCCCAGGCATTATCCTTCAGGAATCCTTCATCACAAATTTTATTGCTAACTCTAGGCGAAGGGCATTACACAAAGGCCTGGGAAGGACGCTTTGCGTTGTCAAGCAATAAGAACTCGAGGTGGAGTCATGCGGCCTTGACTGGACGAGGTTGTGAGGTTATAAAGCGATATGAGATGCTCCATGTGTTTTCTTTTCTTATTTTGCCATTATGAAGTGCTGGTTCTTGCGCCCAGACCGAAGGCAATACTTAGATATAAGCTCTTTTATGTTTTCAGGGTAATGGGTTGTATCAAGCCCTACATTTCTCTTCTGTGTCCACTCTTTCTCTTTCTCTTTCTTTCTGTGTACACTCACACACAAAATTATTCATCCTGTGGTAGATACTGTCCTGCATGACACCATTTTGATGATATGGATAATCAGGTTAAGTGAAGTATGCTGGTAATGTGATACCATTAAATAAAAAATAGCTGCAAAATGTGTGAAAAACATCCAAAACAGAGTATATGATGAGTAATAGCACATACATCACAGCAGACTGAAGGAAAAGTAGTGTATCTAAGACTACTGGACTGTTTGTCAGATAGAGATTGTGCCAATGGTCATATTCACATTGATAAGGAATGGCAGAAGGTCCTACTGCTGTCTGATGGGCCAGAAATTAGTAGATGTGACTGAGAAATGACTAGTGCTGGATGATACACCTATAACGTCTATTGTCTACATGTAATTGATGTCACCCAGTCTAATGAGGAAAATCATGTGAAGTGCAATGTGATACCATTAAATAAAAAGAAAATGGGTCTGTAAAATAAGCTTGCAGAGCAGAAGGTGAATCCATGTGATGCTGGACAGGAATTTGAGGCTAGGGTCAAGGTTACTCCTATGATTGACAAATCTAGCAAATTACCTAGTGAATATATTTATTCAATACTATTACATAATAAACTATATGTCCAAAAGTAGGTTACCATCCGCAAAGCCACGCATCAGCTAGCATTGATACATAGCCCCCCAGCACTGGACTGTGAAGCAGGGCTACTGTGTTTTCTGGAGTGATGGAGCTCTAACCAAGAGGTCTTTGTGATCCAGAGCTAATCATCCAACATCTGTAGCTGACATCACTAATGCTCTTGTGGTTGAATGCAATCAAAACCTAACAGCAATGTTCCAACATCTAGTGTAAAGCCTTCCCAGAAGAGCAGAGGCTGTTACTGCAGCAGTAGACAAACTCCCTATTAATACCTTTGATTTCAGAAGAAACGTTAAGCAGGTGAAACTTTTGGAATTGTTATGTATCTTCTGTGGCTGGCTTTGAGGTTGCATGTGCAGAAAGCGTCAACAGCACAGTATATCACAAGCACCAAAGTGTACTGAAGGATCACAAACTTCTACTGCACTGTTTCTGGTCAATAGAGTGACAATTGTCATATTCTTACTGAGAAGGATGGTCAAAAGGCCCTACCGCTGTGTGGCCAGAGACTTATTACACTGAGAAATTACTAATGTTGGGCTGTAAATCATATTATTGTCTTCCATTCTAATATTGATTTTCAGTTGTTGCGATATTGATAAATAATTAAGGGGTTTTTTTGGGTTGTTGTTAAATGAAAGAACAGTTCAAATACGTAAATAATGTGTCAATGTCAACAAGAATCAATGTTTTAAAATAAAATAACAACAATTTTGTTGCAGAAAGAAATTGTAAAATGGTTCCAATATTCTAGGACCTTCGTAGGAAGCCATGAAGCTGTAAATAAAAATGAAGAATGATCAACAGAGCTGAAGAGGACTCTGTAATGACCGAGAATGATGTATAACATCAAGGAGATAGATATAATTAAATTAATACCCATAATGCCTGTTTTTTGAAAAATTAAAATTGCTGAAAACAGTAATTGTTCATTTCAAAATACTTTTTGATGTCTAATTTATAATGTTTAAATCTACACTACATAAGTAATTATTTTGTATAAAATAACAAAAACTATTAATCCGACAATTCCAAACTGTAGAACAGTATTGTATGAAAAATAAATAGCATGTTTCTGATATTGTGGTTTCTTTCTGGTGAACATTTACAATACAATAAGGTAATAAATGAATATAAAAACAAATGCAGTCCAACAATGCAATTAAATCAAGCTATAACTATATTAACATAGAGTTCAGCTCTCTGGAAGCATATGTTCATGCCTTTCGCAAACTTAAATATCATATGAAATTGTGATATACTAAGAAAATGTCCCGATACCGAACCGAACAATGCTAGAAATGACTCCACTCAAATTGCAGCAAATAAAAACCCTGCTACAGAAAAGTAGTGCTGAAAATGAGCTGGTACGTTTGACAAGCTTATATTACCTGAGGAAACAGTGAGAACATATGCACAGAACACATGGCTAATTAGGGACCAAAGAGTGAGGAGGAAAATGAGGAAGAACAGAAAACAAAAGGAGATTACATAGGAGGAGAAGAGAGAGGGCCATTTCCCATGGGCACAGTCATGTAGAGGAGCCTTTGCTTTTGTTTACTCTTGTTTGCCATAGACATCTGTTCACCCAGCACCATGTCTCCTGCTACTCCATGTCATGCAGAGCGCAGTACAAAACGCTGCTGAATTATTAAACAACCCTACATTCACAAAGAGGTCGCCAGTGTTTTCCAGACCCCTACGAAGCCCTGTTCTCTCCACTCTAGTGCATCCAACCAGTCAACTGTCACGCTAATTTGATTACACGGTCAGCAGACATAGCAGGAAGTTCCACAGGAGTCATGCTGAAGGGCTTCCGTTTCTTTGGAGCACCTCCCGAAAGTGATTCTAAGCTCAGAACTATTAGCTCAGCTCTTTCAGTCAGACACCAGCATGCTCTTCAGCTGTCTTACAGAAGCATCCGCAGTCAAGATATCAGTGTCTCTGCCAGCCAGCTAAGCCCTGGAGAATTAACCTGACATGTCTTTTCAAACATCTGATGGAGTTCAGTTAAGGATAAGACATTGAGGGGACATTCAGTAGCTTAGGCTCTGTTCACACACCGGGGCAAATCAGATTTGTTTCTTGTAAATGACTTTTCAGACTGATAGTTCACATTTTAAGTTACAGGTGACCAAATTTGATTTGTATGGTCAGCCTAGGACAGGGGTCAGCAACATGTATCTCTTTTACTGCCCTGTTGTGGCTCCACAGCATAATTAGATTTTAGTTACAAATAAAATAATCCTGCTTTGCAGTAAAATAAAGTTCTGCTGATCATTCTAACACAGTTTTAACAATAAATGGTCATAACCGCTGGAGTTAATGTAGCCTAGCTATAACTGCTAATTCACCCTTTAACCCTGAAGGCTGGCCCATAGACTGCTGGTCACCATAGCAAAGCAGCCAACAGTCTCACCTACCTAGTAGCTAGCGAAAAGGCAAAGAGAAAGATTTAAGACGATAATTTGGAGACGGAAGGACTTATTTGCATTTATAAGCAATGGTCCTGACCATTGATGAACAGGGTAAAAGGGGGCTAACAAAGCATGCAGAGAAACAGATGGACTACAATCTGTAAC